TTTTTTTTTTTGAGGCAGGGTTTCTCTGTGTATCTTTGGCTGTCCTGGAACTCACAGAGATCCGCCTGCCTCTGCCTCCCGAGTGCTGGGATTAAAGGTGTGCACCACCCCGCTTAAGTTTGTTCTTAACGTACTGCCCTGCTCCTCCCCTGCTCTTAAACTGAAGACTCTTGGGGAGCAGCAGGTCCAGAGCTCAGCCTGAGGTGGCGCTCAGCATTGCCTCTGCCATCTTGTCCACAGGGAGCTGGAGGAGCAGCATGGCATCCACTGCAACATGACGCTGCTCTTCTCCTTTGCCCAGGCTGTGGCCTGCGCTGAAGCGGGTGTGACGCTCATCTCCCCCTTTGTGGGGCGCATCCTTGACTGGCATGTGGCAAACACAGACAAGAAATCCTATGAACCCCAGGATGACCCTGGTGAGCTACATTTTAAGATCATGGGACAGGGGACATGCTGTGTTGTCTCCAGCAGGGCTGGAGACAAGGTCAGGGTGGGGTCAGACAGCAGCTCAGGGCAGCTCTAGGGAACATGCCTATGTCTCCTCCAGGGGTAAAGAGTGTCACCAAAATCTATAACTACTACAAGAAGTTTGGCTACAAGACCATTGTCATGGGCGCCTCCTTCCGTAACACTGGTGAGATCAAAGCACTGGCAGGCTGTGATTTCCTCACCATCTCGCCCAAGCTCCTGGGGGAGCTGCTCAAGGACAACACCAAGCTGACACCTGTGCTTTCCGTCAAAGCGGGTAAGGCCAAGGGGCCATAAGGACCTGTGTGGGCGGAGCTAAGGCCTGACCCTGATGGGAGATACTCAGCCTAGGCTGAGGGACAGTTATGAGTCGAAGGGTAAGGCAGGCATGGAGAGCTGTGGTATCCTCCAGCCCAGACCAGTGACTTGGAGAAGATACATCTGGACGAGAAGGCCTTCCGTTGGCTTCACAATGAGGACCAAATGGCTGTGGAGAAGCTCTCCGACGGGATCCGAAAGTTTGCTGCTGATGCCATCAAGTTAGAGCGGATGCTCACGGTGAGTTCCTGTGTGGGTTGGGCCTTTTCTCCTTCACCAGGGGCAAAGTTGGAGCAGAGGTGAAACCTACTGCAGGAGCCCGGCATAGTTAGGACACAGAGAGTGAGGCAAGAGGATCACAGACTCAATGGCCTGGGCCAGGAATGCTAGTACATGCCTTTAGTTCAAGCACTTAGAGACAGGCTGTCTCAAGAAGCAAGGCAGAGATGGCACAGGCCTTTAATCCTAACACTTGGGAGACCTAGGCAGATGGATCTCTGTGAGTTCAAAGCCAGCCTGGTCTACAGAGCAAGTTCCAAAACATCCAAGGATGCACAGAGAAACGCAAAAACAAACAAAAAACTATGTATCTATATAGATATATACACACACACAATACAGATAGGTAAATGTGTGTGTGTGTGTGTGTGTTTATTTTTCTGGGAGACCATGGGTCCCAGCTGGTTGCTGAAGCCATATTGGGACTTTGGTGGGTCGTATGGGGACAGTCCGGACAGAGTGAGGGCTGACATGACTCCGCCTCTGGTCCCTTCCAGGAACGAATGTTCAGTGCCGAGAATGGAAAGTAGTGTGCACCTGAGGCTGGACCCCAGACCTGCACCGCCGCTGAACTGGGTCCTGACTGCACATGGCTTGTGACGAATCCTGCATTTTTCAGTGATTGGAGAAGGGATGGATCATAGGTTTCTGATTTTATGTGAAATTTTATCTAATTCATTAAAGCAACAGCTTTTCCTATGTTGTGCTTCATTTTACCATCTTTGTCGCCCTCCACTTCAGTACCAGTGGCCCCAGTATTGGCTGTGACTGAGGCGGAGCTTGGAGATGAACCCCAGGCTATCAGCATGATCCAGGCAACTGTGGCCCTCACCCTCATCTTCTAAGCTCCACTGGACTACAGCTGGGATGCGAGGTGGCAGAGGTCTCTGACTTTTGGTGGCAAGATTATACAGTAACACCCTCTGTACCCGGTGTCCCTGTGCCCTGCCTAGATTTTAGGGTGTGCTAGCAGAGTCAGAAGACAAATGGTGGGCTCTGCTCCTGGGAGGTAGCAGCCGAACATAGTGTTCAGAGCCAGGCTTGCCCACTGCCCAAGAGAAAGAGACAGCGGTTTCTGTCTCCCATCTAGGTGCTCTGCTGGTGTAGCCAAGTTCTAAAGGGCACCGGTACCAATTTACGGGGACCGCATAGTATACAACACCAGCTTTGAAAGGGCACGGAAGCATATGCCTATAATCCTGGTCCCTGGAGGGCAGCAACTAGGCTGTCCACATCTGAGGACAGCCTGATCTACTTAGTGAGTTCTGGGACTACTTAGAAACCCTGTCTTCATCCAAAATAAAAGCTGAGTGGTGGCGGCCCATGCTTTTAATCCCAGCATTCAGGAGGCAGAGGCAGGTGGAAGCTCTGATGAGAAGGACCCCCATGGAGCAACTTCCCAGGTCCATTCCCCCAAATTCCCACCACGAGCAGCTCTAGGGCTAAGTACCTGCCTGGGCTTAACTCATCCTGGATGGTGAAGTGGGGAGCAACTTCTGCAACCCAGCACAGCTAGGTTCACAATTTCCCTGATCAAGACCCACAGTATTCTACCACTTCCAGCCAGAAGACAGGGCCTGAAGGAGCAATGCTCCTTGAGGCTGACCTGCTTCAGCAGGTAATGGGCAGAGCCTTGTGCCCATACCACACCAATCTCCTCACCCTTTGGGCTTGCAATAAAAGGAGATCAGGGTTTTGAGTCTTTCCCACCTGGGGCTCCAGGGATACTGGCCAATCATGCATATTCCATAAGTCCTTTTTTGTGTTCTTTTGAGACAGGGTCTCTGTACATGGCCTGGCTGTCTTGTACTATGCCTCTGCTGGGCAACCATCTGTAATGATATCTGGTGTGTAGTGCAGACATACATGCAGGCAGAATACTGTATGCATAATCTTTACAAAAAAAAAAAAAAAACCAGCTGGGCAGTGGTGGCACTTTAATCTCAGCTCTCAGGAGGCAGAGGCAGGTAGATCTCTGAGTTCGAGGCCAGCCTGATCTACAGACTTGAGTTCCAGGACAGGCTCCAAAGCTACACGGAGAAACTCTGTCTTTAAAAAGAAAATAAAAAGGGTGCACCACCACATACTGCTTTGTATCAGAATTCATGGCCAATTACTTGACTGAACTAGTGATATTCCATTATAAAGAAACCACTAGCTGGGTATGGCGGCAAACACCTTTAATCCCAGTCCTCAAGAGGCAGAAGCAGGTGATCTGAGTTCAAGGCCAGCCTGGTCTACAGAGCTTCAGGATAGTCTGGACAGAGAAACCCTGTCTCGAATGAATGAATCTGTATGATGTGCGTGTGTGAGTGGACGTGCAGATCAGGGTAGCATAATTTCAAGAGTCGGAGTGTTCCTCCACTGTGGTACTTTCACTGGCTGAGCCATTTGGTCAGTCCCTTTTCATTCTTTTTTTTTTCCCAAGACAGTTTCTCTGTATAGATTTGGAGCCTGTTCTGGAACACAGTAGATCAGGCTGGCCTTGAACTCCGAAATCTGCTTGCCTCTGCTTCCCAAGTCCTGGGTTACCCGCCCGGCGGCCCCTTTTCAAATAATTCTGCTAGCAACATCTGTGTAAGGTTTAATTTCTCTTGAGTAGTTATAAATGTGCTTATGAACATACCCTGAGCTCAGCTGCCACTTTTCCAGGGATTTGTTCATTCTCTCTTCTCCATCTTCTCCAGCTTGCTGTCCCCTCCTCCACCTAGGACTGGGTGGGTACCCTTAGAACAGAAGTCTGGCACCAGAGCCCACCTCACCTGCTACAGCTATATAATGTCTCAGATAGAATACGGGTGGTGGCAGCATATGCCTTTAATCCCAGCAGAGGCAGGCTAAGTTTGAGGATAGCCAAGGCAGCACAGAGAAACCCTGTCGAGAGAGAGAGAGAGAGAGAGAGAGAGAGAGAGAGAGAGAGAGAGAGGACAAACGTGACACTCATAGAGAGCCAGCCAATTAGAAGAAACTCTCAAACCCCATCAGCATGGTATCACCTCCCAGTGTCTGAAGCTGTCCCCTAATTCGTGCTAAAACATCGTCTCTGAGGTGATGGTGTTAAATGGGACTTTGGCTTCATGAAGCAATTAGTAACTTCTGAAAAGGTTCCAGAAAGCACCTACCTCTTCCGACCCGGTAAGAAGCAAAGAGGTCTGAGCCAGGAAACCCTTACCAGACACACCTAGTTCACTATGCTTGGACTTGAAGCTTCAAAATGTATGTGAAATATGTTGTTTACAGATCACCCAGCCTGTGACTGAACCAGCCAAGCCTAAGGCACGGCCTCAGGTTTTAAAGCTTTGTCGAGGAATATCCATCATTACATAGTGTTGATGGCAGAAGAGGGCCAGGGAGGATCCAGGACAGGTGGGCTCTCTTGCTGCTTTCTTCCACGTGTTCTGGACTTCCCTTATTAAAGGTTATTAACCACCAAAAGGATTTCCTCCAGGTCTCTGGCACTGGTGCTACTCTGGGCAAAAGTTAAGTGAAGAGGGAAATTAAGAGGTCCAAGTTACTTGGAAGGCTCTCGTCTAAGGCTAGAAGGCTACTGACTGGAAGCTACCATCCTGGCCAGGGGCCCCAGGATTGACCGCAAACAAGCATGTCCAGGAGGGAGATGGCCATATCAGGTCCTCAGCACAAGCAGGGTCTGGAAGACAGGACTCATGGATATTCCTGCTTCATATAGCCCAAACCCATGTGTGGCCATTTCCTTCTAGGAATAGATGGAATACCTGGCCCGAGGCTTCTGCAAGCCAGGGGCAGTTTGACAAGCTGTGGGCTAACAGCAGTTTAAGGGTCTCCAGGTGTGACACTAGTATTTTTTCTATGCCATATGAGGCAGGGTGACATCACTGTGTCCACTCCAAGGACCTAGGACCATGGCAGGCTGAGCTGGGGCCTGTATTGCATTAAAAACCACAGGCCAGCTGGATAGTGGTACCACACGCCTTTAATCTCAGCACTCGGGAGTCAGAGGCAAGCAGATCTCTGAATCTGAGGCCAGCCTGTGCTGCCTCAAGAGTGGGTTCTAGGACAGGCTCCAAAGCTACAGAGAAACACTATCTCAGAAGAAGAAAAAAATCATAGGCAAGATTGCAAGATTTAAAGATGGGCAGTCTTCTTCAGCAAGAATGCTGCCTGCCTAGGGCTAAGAAAACATCCATTGTTCACCTCTGGCAAGATGAATTCAGAGCAAGTTCCAGTCTTTTGGTCCTTTCCCCATGGTTCTCACCGACAGCTAAAGGGATAAGAATAGCCAAAGGGCCATACAAGAGCAGCATCCCATCCTGAGATCCCACAGCTGCCTCTCCCAGGGACAATTCTTCTTGGAGTGTTCATTTGCAGTTCTCAGAGACTGCCTGGCCAGCCAAGATGCTCCCCACTATGTGCTGGGGATAGAGGAGGAGTGTTCAGTCTACGTAAGAACTGATACTCTCCAAGTCTTAACTCTTGGAGGCCTCCAGCGTTCCACAGGGTCCAAACGGAGGCTTGAGGGCCCTGTCAGGTAAGGACCAACAGAAGAAGGCCACCAGGATCAAGGACAGCATCCAAATTACTTCCTATAGGATGAACACATGGTCCAGACTCAGCACCAGCAGGCAGGGCGTCGCAGACAAAACTGTCCAGCAGAGGGAGCCAGTCACAAAGCAGGAATCCACCCAAACCCCTTCCCAGGAGCCTCACCGGCTGCCACAAAGGAAGAGCAGGTTCTGGACAGCGGGAACAGTGGAGTTTGTATTCTGACCAGTGACCAGGTGGCGGTCCAGCACCACATGCACGGCGTCGGGCTCACTGGCTACGGCAGAGGACACAAACCTTAGGCCACAAGGCCTAGGCCCAGTCCCACTCCCACCCACTGAGAAGCTGCGAACACCAGGGGTCAGCAGGAAAGCCTGTCTGGGTGAAGCACAGGGGTTTGCAGGACCTAAAACACCAACCCAAGACACAGCAGGTAGCTCCACAAATCTAAGTGGAGGGGCACCAACTTGGGCTCACCACTGAAGCCAGCGCCAGAGTCCTTCACAAAGTCCTCCACAACCAGCGGCAGGCGGGCAAAGTCAGGTGCCCTGATGAGCTCGTACACAGAAGGCTGCAAGGACAGGGCTGGAGTCAGACCAGCTAGTAGCTCTACCCTGCCCAGTGCCCTATTTTCCCCAGGGGCCAGGCAGGGCAAATCAAAGCAGCAACCTCAGCTACCACATGGGGGAGACAGGCAAAGGCAAAAACTCAGTCATCTTTTTGGAGACTAAGCCGTTATGGCTTAGAGTGCCTGTCTCCCCCAGCATCAAGACGTAAGTGTTGACCAAAATGAGATGGACTGGTATCCTTTGGAAGGAGTCCCTTCATGGGTCCCATGCTGCTCTTCCTAGAGGGTCTCAGGCTGTGCTCACACCACGTGGACAAGGAGAGAAGTGCTCTAGCAGTATGGGGACTGGCAGGTCACAGTGCCTGTAGGAATCTCTTTCTGGTTCAGGGAGGGGCAGGGAGACAGGAGGGAACGGGACACTGGCTTGACCACGAAATACTCACCCCTGTCAGGCTGTAGCCTTCGAACACCCAGGACCTGTCTTCATTGGTAGCACAGCACAGGGCAGCGACACCATGGCCAATGGCACAGATGGGTTCTAAAAGTGACAAGGTACTCTCAGGCCCTGGATGCTATCCTGGGTCGGGTCCCCACCCAAGTGTCCCCTCCCCCAAAGCGGATGCTTCAAGACTAGAGTTTACTTAGAGCCCACGCTGCCGCAGTTTTAAGACATGTGAAAACACCCAGAACTCCCAATTCATGTACCAGCCGCTGCTTCAAACTGCAGAGATGCCACTGTGCAGCTGGGGGTGGTACTCCTAGGGACTACCCTGTTCTGCAATTCTGCAATAGGGCTACCCTGGCTCCTCCCCAAAGACAACTTTTTTTTTAGGTTTTGTTTTTTTTTAATATTTATTTATTTATTTAATATATATACAATATTCTGTTTGTGTGTCTGCCTGCAGGCCAGAAGAAGGCACCAGACCTCATTACAGATGGTTGTGAGCCACCATGTGGTTGCTGGGAATTGAACTCAGGACCTTTGGAAGAGCAGGCAAGGCTCTTAACCTCTGAGCCATCTCTCCAGCCCCTTTTGTTTTGTTTTTCGAGACAAGGTTTCTCTGTAGCTTTGGTGGCTATCCTGGAACTAGTTCTTGTAGACCAGGTTGGCCTCGAACTCAGAGATCCACCTGCCTCTGCCTCCCGAGTGCTAGGATTAAAGGCGTGCACCACCATTGCCCAGCTCCCCAAAGACAACTTAATGGCTAATGTGTTCCCATGGCTGAGGTAGCTGGGAAAAACTGCTTCTTGTCTAAGCCCAGAAGGCCAGCTCTCAACACAGAGGACATTGATGGTCCTGCATCTGGTCTCTGATGAGCATCCTGCCCCAGCCTACAGATGTGCTTATCACGACAGATGTTGCCTCCAGACAGCATCCTGATTAACCTACCACGGAAAGGGCTAAGAGGTCACGGTCAGCAGCCCTCTCTTGGCTGCCAGAGGCTCACACTGCAGAGACTAGCAATGCACACATTATGTTAAGTGAGATCACTCTTTGTGCACGTGGACACAGAGCAAACTCACTTGTGTGCAGGTCAGAGTCATTGCGGTTCTCCGCTCCCTTCTGATGGGCTGATGAAATCACCAGGCATGCCCAGTCCTGAATCCTAAACCCTGTACTCAATATCCACTCCATAGCTGCTTCCACACCTAGTCTCTAGTTCCCTGTCACCCACTGTTTTGATCACTCCCTCTACTCCCCACCCAGGTGTCTGCTTGCCAGCCTGTTCTCCAGTTTCTTGTCACCCACTGCTCTCTGAGTGGAAGTGCTGCAGTATCCGAGCCAGGGACCCGCTGCTGGCAAGGTCAGTGAGGGCGCCAGGACAGCTGGGAATCAGGAGAGCATGGTACCGGGCACCTGGGAGGAAACCACAGGTCAAATTAGGGCACGGCCAGACACAGAGGCCCTCCAGGGACCCACTAGCCACTTGTCACCTACCATCTATGGACTCAAGCTTAGCGGGGCTGGCATAAGCTTTGAGACGGAAGTCTTGTACCCAGCGTGCATTGCTCTCGGTCACATCCACAAAGTCCATGGCCTTTCCCTAGGGAAGCAGAGCCTACGTGAAGGGTCAGCACCAGGATCTTCCCCCACATTCGAGCGACAGAGTACTTAGAAAGGCTAACAGATTTCAAGACAGCCCCTGGGGCACAAACACCTGCCTGGACAGCCACTCTTACTGGCTGGCTCGGGCAGGGAGCGTCCAGTGACAAGAGAAAGAAAGAAATCAAATACAAGGTAGTCCCAGAAAACCAAACTAGCAGCGTGCAGGGGCCCTGTACAGCACAATGCTGAGGTCTTACCACAGGATCACCACACCCTGCTCCCCAGACTCCTGACTATAAAGCAGCAGCAAATGTCCCACCTACCTTGTGACTTCGAAACATGCAAATACCCAACACACATTTGCTGTGATCCATTTATGACTGGATGTTCCCAGGGCCACGGTGCAAGAATCAAGGATCTCTCCTAGTAGGAGGATCTATGCAGGACCCACACACTAGGACCAAGTCTTATCTTTCCCTTATAGACTTGCAAAAGTGCAGGTCACAGTGAAAAAAAGTTCCCTTGACACAGGAACGTCATAGTCCAGTGAACGGGAACCATGACTTAAGGATGCCACCAAGTTTGGTTGTAGATCCCCTTACCTGGAGGTAGCTCCTTCCTGGCCCTATCAACTCTACACTCGACACTCTAGACTCTACCCTCTCCTAGCCTCGGCCCAAGAAAAGGGAGAACCTCAGGGGTTCCCTGGAGAAAGTGACTGTACTCACCCCAGGGGTGGCCACCTGTAGGTTGAAGGCAGCACTGGCCAATGTGAAGCAGTGGAAGAAGGACTGGGCGGACACACCTGCAAGAGAGGGTTTCAAAGCTGCAAGGGCATGACAGGGCCAGCTGGCCCACCCCTACTCCTCAAAGACAGCTCCAGTGCTCCTAGGGACTCTCCTGGTCCCAGAACCAGCCGTAGGAGCAGTCTATTCCACCCACCCAGGGTCCACGCCCTGCGGACAGGACAGCAGTATTTCAGGTTCAGGAAGATGTAACTCAGAGGTCCACAGCAGGCCTATTGCTCAACCAGTTTTGGCTTCTGGCCCCAGAACGACCTGCAGGTTCCAGTGGTTCTGCAGCCTCCCAGAATAGGCTCTCTGCTCAACCTAATACCTCTGCCTTCAGGCCCCCAGCCCACCTTAACTGTCTACCAACACCCCTACACCCTTGGCTGCATCCCATCCTTTCCTCCTTACAGGTACTTCCAAAGCCAAACCTTTGGGTCATCTCTCAGACCCACCAATAGCCAAGGCCCCTATAGCACAGGAAAAGCAACAGTGAACATGTCATAGAAGCAGGAGAGCGTAGAGAGTGGTGTTTGGGGCACTCCCCACACTCAGGACACCAGGCGGGTCCCCTCTTCCTAAGAGCATGAGATTCTGACCCCACCACGCACTCAGCACTCTTCTGCCCATCAAGAGTCCTTCAACAAGGAAAAAGGCTTGCTTAGTTCATTTAAGTCCAGACGCCGGGTGCACAGGCCTTTAATCCTGGTACCCGGGAGGCAGAGCACCCATACTTAAAATATAAACAAATTTAAAAAGAAAAAACAAGACTCCAGACGATTTGTAGGCACAGCCAACCTCCCCTAACATCACCTCCAGTGCAGCGGTCTGCACTGGTTTAATTTAAGGGCACAACCCTTTAGCTTCATCTTTCCGTCTTCCTTCTTTCTGAGACAGCATCTCACGTAGCCATTAACCAACCTCTTTATCCTCCTGCCGCCAACTCCTACGCTAGGCTTTTGGTTTGTGGGTTTTGTTATGATTTAGTTTTTGAGTTAGGATCTCACTATTTAGCCCCGCTGACCTGGAACTGGCTATGTAAGTTCCAGATTTGGCTTCAAACTCCCAGAGACCCATCTGCTTCTGCCTCCTGAGTGTTGGGATTAAAGACACACACCATTAGGCCTAGTTTCTTTTACGATTTAATACATTTTCAGGGATCTACCCCAGATTATCCCCACCAGCTCCTCGATCCCTCACTCCCAAACTCTCTCAAGTAAAGTCTTCCTATGAGCAGCTGTGGATTCTTTCAACCCTCTCTTCCAGGGCGGAAAGCACCCTCAGGGCCCACCCATTTCCACCTAGGAAGCTTAGTGGACCCCAGGGGTTCATCATCCAGGATTCCGCGGTACCTTCAAACTCATGCTCGCTTGAGATGCTCCATACGGCTCTACAGGAAAACCCTGGGCCGCAGCTCTGGGCCCCATCATCCCCAGTTCCCTAAAGACCGGTGAAGTCACCATCTGCCCAGCTTCCTAGACACACACCGGGCAGCTGGAAACCCATAGCCAGCAGACCCCCTTCTGTGTGCGGGTCCCTTGTGTGCAGCTCTTTCGAGCAACCCCTTTCAGGATCGCTTCCTGGAGGCGCGTGAAGACAGGCCCAGGATCAGGGCGACAGAATGGCAGGAACGGTGGGGCAGAGTACCGAGCCCCTGCGGCTGACCTGGGTGCAGGGTCATCTCCGCAGTCGCTGGCCACCCTGCCTGCTGGCAGACAACACAGGCCTGCCCCGGGGAAACAGATGCGGGATCTCAGGATCCCAACTCTGCAGGCATAAACGTTGACCTGGAGTCAGAACGGCAGGCCACTGCGCCACACAGCTACCCTGCGCGCCTCACCTTCAGAAGCGCCGCTGGCCACCAAGAGACAGGCAGGTCTGCTGGGCAGCCGCTCGGACGCCATGGCTGCAAACCCGGTTAAGTGTGCAGAGAGGCGGAGTGGGGCGGGGCGGGGCGGGGCTCGCCAGCCGCGGGAGTGGACTGAGCGTGCGCGAGGTGCGGAGGGCGGGGCTCGCCTGCAGGAAGTGCCAAGTTGGGGGGGGCGGAACTTGCCTGCAGATGCAGCCTGCGCGTGCGTGAAGATTGGGGAGAAGTGGCTGACTAGGAAGGAAACGCTGTGGGTCCCTGAGTGTTTACCAGAGTCCGGGACAGGCTTGTGACCCTCAGGCACACATCAGTTGAGCGCAGCTGGCTGGGCAGACGTTACTCACGGTCTGAGCTGGCCACATGGCTACCGCGCCTTGGGCCTTTGACTGCAATTGAGCCCTGCTATACTTGTCTGGGGGAGAAGACCCGTCAGCCTAACTGGCCGACTGGATAGGGGCCCGGAGGTGGGTCGCATGTAGGCGGGTATTCCTTTGCGTGTTTTGGAGGTTCCAAAGACGCCTCGGTCCCTGGAGTTTTGGATGAGCCCGAGGAAAAGCTGTGAATGCCTCTGGGGCTTGATGTTGAGTTTCTTAGGAAAAGCCAGATTGTCTAAGGAGGCCAACCTATATCTGTTTTTTTATATGCATTGGTGTTTTTACCATGGGTGTCAGGACCCCTGGAACTGGAATTACAGTTGTGAGCTGCCTTATGGGTGCTGGAAATTGAGCTGGAATCCTCTGAAAGAGCAACCAGTGCTCTTAACCACTGAGCCCTCTCTCCAGCCCCTCCACACTGTTTCTAAAGCGATTGTTCCTTATGTTGTACCGCATGAGTATGGGGTGCCTGGTGGGGCCTAGGAAAAGGAGCCTGGAGCCCAGGGTCCTGTACTGTCTGTGGTGATGTTTGGGGATTCGCAGGCCAGAGTTAGCCCAGAGCCTTCTGGATCTGTAGATTGCCCAATCCTTAAAAACCCATCTGTTGACATGAAGCCCCAAGGTGAAGGGACCAGACTGAACATGGCCAACAATCCACATGCTCACACAGCTCCACCTTTGTGCTGTCCCCAAAGCAATCTTGAGACACCAGAAATGGCAGAGCCAGCAATAGGCTTGAGTCTTGAGGAGGAAAGGACTAAAAGGTGTTACTCGCAGGTGTTAGAAGTAAGTTTCGGGTGGTAAAGACACCACCATTCCAAATGAAGTGTCTGGACAGGGCACATTTTACTCTTGACCTGGAGAGTGTGCTTGAGGAGTGAACACACAAAGACAGGAAGTGCATTTGGTTCTTATTCTAACTCAGGTGGTGGCTGTGTCTTCCCCGTTGGCTGGGTCTGACCTCACAATATTATTCAGTTGACTGGTCTGAAAAGAACCAATGTACAAGAAATGGGGGAAGGGGAAAGGGATCCCTGACTGAGGAGGATCGGAACAGCCTGGGCTATTACATAGAGAATCCCTGTCAAGAAAAAAAGAAAATTGAATTCCTCATTCTAAACACAAATTGTAGTATTTGATAGAAAAGAATATTTGATATTACTTATCCCGGTTACAGTCCTGGGAAGTCAGGACAGGAACTGAAGTAGAGACCATGAAGGAACACTGCTTACTGGCTTTATTATTTTTTTTTTCGAGACAGGGTTTCTCTGTAGCTTTGGAGCCTGTCCTGGCACTAGCTCTTGTAGACCAGGCTGGCCTCGAACTCACAGAGATCCGCCTGCCTCTGCCTTCTGAGTGCTGGAATTAAAGTCATGCCACCACCACCTGGCTTACTTACTGGCTTTTAAAGCTACCTTTCTTATGCACCCCAGGCCCACCTGGCCTGAAAAGACCTCACACATTGGGCTAAGCCTCCCCCCCCCCCATCGATGAGCAATCAAGAAATGCCCCACAGGCAAGACACAGACCAATCTGATACAAGCAACTCCTCAATTGAGGTTGCCTCTTTTCAGGTAGTGGAATTGACACTTCACAGGGGGGAGGGGAATGATGTTGTATGTCTACTCTCATCCCCCAGCTTGCCTCCTCGAACGCATGGAGGAGGAAGCCGAGGCTCCATGTCTGACAGGAGCCGTAAGGCTGTTGTGTGTGCACTGTATCCAAGGGTGGTGCTGTGTACCGTGCCTGACAGATGATTCAACATGGCTAGGAGGAAGCAATGACCTGTGTCCAGAGAGGCATGCTTGTGAGTGAGCAGAATGTCTGGTTTCCAGAAGAGCCTGTGAGACTGCTGGGATCCACATGGGATCGGCATTCAAGCCTAGATAGGCAGATGTAACAGACAAGCAGTACTTGGTCAGGAGCCGTGCTGTCCGGAGCTGACACTCCTAGACCAGGCCCTAAGGTGGAGCTACCCTGCCAAAGTGCCTGTTGCTGAGCAACATCCTAGATCCTATGTGCTTAGCAAGTATACTGGTACCAGGGCCTTCCTGCCACAGCGACTAGGCCCTGCCTCCACACCTAGTAGCATCCTTCAGGACTGACATCTGGGCCTGGACACCGGGACGAGATCAGCTCTACAGTGGGGAGGTTTTGCCACTTGAGACAGAGCACTGGAGGCTCCAGGATGTCCTTGAGCAAAACCAATGACAGCATCGTGAGGGAGGCCCAGTGTCCGTCCTGTCCTGTGGATCATTCTCTTGGTCTCCTTCATAGATACACCAAAGGTCCTGTTTGTGAGGCTTACACACCTGAGCCCTGGACATGGTATGCTAGGACATCAGATCTATCAGCAAGTGTCCATGTGGCAAAGGTCGGGGAGGGTTGAGGTCTACACATATAGGGTCTGCTCCTGTGTGGAGATCCTGGGCCCGTAGGAACTCTTGATATTGATGGCAAGTTGGGCATTCAGGAGGCAGAAACAAGTGGATCTCTGAGTTCGAGGCCAGCCTGGTGAGCTACATAACTACATACTGAGACCTTATTGTGAGGGGGAAAAAGCCACTCGTTTCTTTTTCATATCGAGAACCTTCTACTGGAATGTAAGGGCAGGGGAGAAGTCCTAGGAGACGTGTGCCCCGCTGGGCTGACTTGTGCAGCAAGTCCTGCCTCCTGTCACTCCTGCTGCCTCTGTGACTCCTGTTTCAGAGCAGGCTTGGGCCCTTTCCTGGCCTCTCTGTACATCTGGGAGCTCCTTTCTGTCAGACTCCCAACCATCTCAAAGCCTAGGCCCCAGCTGCAGCATCTGCTACGAGCGAGAAGGTGTTGGTTGCCCTGAGTGCCCTTCCGCTAGTTCCCGTGACCATCAAGTGTACCTTGACACGAGGACTAAGTGTTCAGAGGCATAAAGTTCTCTTGCGATTGGGGGACATCTTTACCCTACAAACACTCTTCAGGGTGGGGGTGGGGAGCTGCCTAGAGGTGAGAGGTTACCCTCAAGTAGCCTTCAAGACCCAGACGAAGCTGGTTGGTGGTGATGCATGCCTTTAATCCCAGTACTTGGGAGGTAGAGACAGGAGGATCTCTGAGTTTGAGGCCAGTCTGGTATATAGAGTGAGTTCCAGGACAGCCAGAGAGAAACCCTGTCTTTGTCTTACACAAAGAAACCCTGTCTCAAAAAAAAAAAAAACAAAAAGACCCAGATGAAACCCTTTCCCCATTAGGGCTCAGTGGACTGGGTGAAGCCTGGAGCCTCCGAGATAAGTCATGCAAGGCTATACAAAGCAAGCAGCATGCAGCCAGTGACAGCTTGCTGCCAGGTATGAAGTTGTGAAAGTTCCGTCACCTGAGGTGGGTCCTCTGCAATATTGGTGAGAATACTAAAGCAGCTGGCTGGCCAAAAAGTGTCTAATCTGTGGCCAGGTGATGGCATTGTGGCACAAAGTAGGGTAATGTGGCCCAGAAGCAGGCACAAAGTATCCCTGTGAGTAACAAGGAAGGGGTAGTGTAAGACTAAGACAATCCTGAAGCCATTTCTGACAATTCTGAATCCTCTCAGCCTCTGTGCCATAGTGCTTCCCCTCCTCCCCTGGGAACCAAGGACCTAACAGCGACACATGCACGTACTCAGTTCCTGAACAATTACTCATATACGTATATTTTGATTCGGTCCCCTGGGAAACGGGGTCAAAATGACCTCTTATCTGATCTGGCAACCACTCTCCAGCCAATTATTGGTAATAGCCCTTTTGAATAAGCCAATCAGAATAGTCAAAGAACAACACCCACCCCTGCTTCTGTGGCCCCTTTAAAAGTAGACTGTACCAGCTATTTGGGGTCTCTCAGCTTCCTGAATGCTGAGGGACCCTGTCATGACAGAATTAATAAAATCCTCATGCTTTTGTATCGGCTGTGGTGTGTGAGGTGGTCTCTGGGGGCGACTCCTCCTCGGTGTTTGGACGCTAGAGTCCAACAGTAGCAGGACAGGTCTGGGAGTTTACTCAGACACCCTTAGTTCCATGGGGTTAGGGGAGCAGGGAAGAAGACTTAGCATAGGTATGTACCCCTCTCTTGTTGAATAGTTTATCCAGGGAGACGAGAGCCACCTCGTCTGCCCTCTGAGGATTTGACTGCACTGTGTCCCTTTTCCTTCTTGGGATTGTAAGGCAAACGAATAAAACCAGTCACTGTGAAGCAGCAAAGAAGGTTCTGTTCTTAGCCAGAGAATAAGGGAGCCTGAATAGAGCTCAGATGACTTCTCAGCCATGGCAGTTGGAGGTCATCCATATGGCTCAGGTAGAGTACAGGGGGATTGGGGGGGGGGGGTTCTAAGCACAGGGAGCCATGTCTATCTTCTTACTCTGCTGTTTTTTCTTTCCCCCCCTTTTTTTTTTTTAATTTCTTTTGGTTTTTCAAGACAGATTTTCTCTGTGTAGCTTTGGAGCCTGTTCTGGAACTAGCTCTTGTAGATCAGGCTGGCCTTGAACTCACAGAAATCCGCCTGCCTCTGCCTTTAATCCTCTGCTGGGGTTAAAGGCGTGCACCACCACTGCCTGGTACCTTCCTTCCTTCCTTTCTTCTCCCTTCCTTCCTTCCTTCCTTCCTTCCTTCCTTCCTTCCTTCCTTCCTTCCTTCCTTCCTTCCTTCCTTCCTTCCTTCCTTCCCAGCCTGAGTATTAAGTTTGAGAATTTTCTAAGAAGTGGGTGCT